GATTCAGTTATATATATAGGCTATAACAAGGTATTAATATAGTTCCCTGTGCTATAAGTCAGACTTTGTTTTTTATCTATTTTATATATAGTAATATGCACCTGCAAATCCCAAACTCTCAATTTATACCTCAACCCCCTTTACCCTCTGGTAACTGTAAGTTTGTTTTCTATGTCTATGAGTCTCTTTCTGTTTTGTAAATAAGTTCATCTGTATCATTTTTTTAGATTCCACATATAAGTAATATCATATGGTTATCATATATATATATATATGTGTGTGTGTGTGTGTGTGTGTGTATTTTTTTTTAACATCTTTATCCAGTCGTCTGTCAATGGACATTTGGGTCACTTCCATATCTTGGCTATTGTAAATAGTGCTACTATGAATATTGTAGTACATGTACTTTTTCAAACTATAGATTTCTCCAGATATATGCCAGAAGTAGAATTCCTGGAACATAGGGTAAGTCTATTTTCAGTTTTGTAAGGAATCTCCATATTCTTCTCCAAACTGCATTCCCACCAACAGTGTAGGAAGATTCCCTTTTCTCTACACCATCTCCAGCATTTGTTGTCTATCCACTTTTAAATGATGGCCATTCTGACTGGTGTGTGGTGATACCCCATTGTAGTTTTGATCTGCATTTCTCAAATAATTAATGACATTGAGTATCTATTCATGTGCCTGTTGTCCATTTTTATGGAGAAATATTTGGGTCTTTTACCCAGTTTTTGATAGGGTTGCTTATTTTTTGATATCAAGCTATATGAGCTGTTTGTGTATTTTGGAAATTAGTCCCTAGTTGGTCACATCACTTGCAAATATTTTCTTCCATTCTATAGGTTGTCTTTTCATTTTGTTTATGGTTTCCTTAGCTGTGGAAAAGCTTTTAAGTTTAATTAGGTCTCATTTGTTTATTTTTGTTTTTATTTGCATTACTCTAGGAGACGGTTCAAAAAAATACTGCTGTGATTTATGTCAGAGTGTGTTTTCCTCTAGGAGTTTCATAGTATCTGGTCTTACGTTTAGGTCTTTAATCTATTTTGAGTTTATTTTTGTATATGGTGTTAGAGAATGTTCTAATTTGAGTCTTTCATATGTAGCTGTCCAGTTTTCCCAGCACCACTTATTGAAGAGACTGTCTTTTCTCCATTGTATATTCTTGCCTCCTTTGTCGTAGATTAATTGACCATAAGTGTGTGGGTTTATTTCTGGAATTTCTATTTTGTTCCATTGATCTGTGTGTCCATTTTTGTGCCAGTACCATATATTTTGATTACTGTAGCTTTGTAGTATAGTCTAAAGTTAGGGAGCATGATTATCCTAGCTCTGTTCTTCTTTGTCAAGATTGTTTAGGCTTTTCAGGGTCTTTCATGTTTTCATACAAATTTTAACATTTTTTGTTCTATTTCTGTTAAAAGTGTCATTGGTGATTTGGAAGGGATTGCATTGAATCTGCAGATTGCCTTGGGTAGTATGACCATTTTAACAATACTGATTCTTCTAATCCAAGGACACAGTATATCTTTCATTTGTGTCATCTTCAATTTCTTTCATGAGTGTCTTAAAGTTTTTGGAGTACAGGCCCTTTGCCTCCTGAGGTAGGTTTATTCCTAGGTGTTTTATTCTTTTTGATGTGATGGTAAGTGGGATTATTTTCTTAATTTCTCTTTCTGATAGTTCATTGTTAGGGTATAGGAATGCAACTATTTTCTGTATATTAATTTTGTATCTTGCATCTTTGTCAAATTCATTGATGAGCTCTAGTAGTTTTCTGATAGCTTCTTTAGGATTTTCTATGTATAGATAGTATCATGTCATCTGCAAACAGTGACAGTTTTACCACTTCTTTTCCAATCTGGATTCCTTTTATTTCTTTTTCTTCTCTGATTGCTGTGGCTTCAATTTTCAAAAATATGTTGAACAAAAGTGGTGAGAGTGGGCATCTTTGTCTTGTTCCTGATCTTAGAAAGAAATAATTTCAGTATTTCAGCTTTTTGGGGGTTTCCATTTGCCTGGAATAACTTTTTCCACCCTCTCACTTTCAGCCTGTATGTCTCTAGCTCTGAAGTGGGTCTCTTGTTGACAGCATATATATAGGTCTTGTTTTTCTATCCATTTAGCCAGTCTGTGTCTTTTGATTGGAGCATTTAATCTATTTACATGTACAGTAATTATCGATATGTATGTTCTTATTGCCATTTTGTTAACTGTTTTGGATTTGTTTTTGTAGGTCTTTTTTTCCCCCTTTTTCTTTATGTTCTCTTCTCTTGTGATTTGATGACCATCTTCAGTGTTATGTGTAGATTCCTCTTTATTTTTTGTGTATGTATCGCTTATAGATTTTTAGTTTGCAGTTACTGTGAGCTTTTGGTATAGAAACGTAAATATATATACCTGGTTGTTTTATGTTGCTGATCTCTTAATTTCAAATGTATTTTGGAGATCCTACATTTGTACTCTTCTTCCCTCATCGTTACTGATTTTAATATCATATAGTGCATCTAATTTATTTGTGTATCCCTTAACTGCTTATTGTAAATACAGATGATTTTTACTACTTTTGTCTTTTAACTTTCCTAATAGTTTGTGTGTGGATGATTTTCTGCCTTTACCTTATGTTTGTCTTTACTGGTGAGCTTTTCCATTTCATAATTTTCTTATTTCTAGTTGTGGCCTTTTCTACGTAGAGAAATTCCTTTAGCATTTCTTGTAAAGCTAGTTTGGTGTGCTGAATTCTTTTAGCTTTTGCTTATCTGTGAAGCTTTAGATTTCTCTGTCAAATCAGAATGAGTGCCTTGCTTGATTATAGGTTTTTCCCTTTCATCAGTTTAAATATATCATGCCACTCCCTTCTGCCCAGCAGAGTTTCTGCTGAAAAATTAGCTGATAGCCTATGGTAGTTCCCTTGTATGTTATTTGTTGCTTTTCCCTTGTTGCTTTTAATATTCTCTCCTTATCTTAATTTTTGTCAATTTGATGGCTGTGTGCCTCAATATGTTCCTCTTTAGGTTACTTAGGACGCAGCCCCACCCATCAGCAGACTTTCTGAGCCCTCAACTACCTCTAGACACACCCCTGGACATGGCACTGCCCACCAGAGTGCCAGAACCCAACTCTACCCAGCAGTAGGCAGGTACCGACCTCTCCCACCAGGAAACCTGCACAAGCCTCTAGTCCATCCTCACTCACCAGGGACAGATACCAGAAGTAAGAAAACAATAATCCTATAACCTGTGGAAGTAATTTGCAAAAACAAGTCAGACTCTACTGTGGGACCAACTGGACCCTGGCCTTTGGGACATGAGAGGGAAGTACACTGCTGGGATGCATAGGAACAAAATTAATCCAGTACACGCAATATTATGTTAACCCAACAAGGACAACGTTTGTTTTGACATTGACTTTTGTTATGAATTGACCCAAAATAGATTTTTAAGATACTACATAAAATGTCAGAAACTTGGTTGCAAAATACACTTGCAGTGTCTGATAGAATGCAGTTGGGAGGAACACCAGACCACAAAGAGATTTATAAACAATCTAGTTTTCAAACTACAGCAGATCTGATTAAAACTTACGTCAGTACTTTTGCAAAGTGACTATTTTTACTTCAATTTATTAAGTCTTAGAAAGATCAAACATAGTGGAGCAGAATAGACAAAAATGAAAGCAAAGCAAGTTGAGATGTAAGACAAGCAGCATTGTTTCTAATCACATACTTCCAATTACACGCAACAGATATTCATCAATCCCTGTATAGAGATAGAGGCTGCTATAGGGGTTAGGTCTAAGAATGTGGAAAGTGTTTATTTATTTGGTAAGATGACCTGACTACAATTATGACTAATCATGTCAAACAAGGGGAATTATTCAATGACACTTTTGTATTTCCAAAGGACAATAAACCATAAAAAGATTTTAGAATATTCCTAGGTTAATGAAGCCATAATCATTGTTTAGATATATTTGTTACATTGTCTCCTGTGACTACATTTTTTGAAGTCTATTTTCTCTTCTTTAACTTTCCTTAGACTAAAGGAATATACTTTTGCACATCTTTTGACCAATCTCCATCTTTTTTAGAAAAAAAATTTGTGGTGTATGTTAAAATTTTATTTATATTTTAAATCTATTATAATGCCATTTATAGTCTGCTTAACTAGGATTTCTCTTTTTAAAAGCTTCTATTTAAAGTTTTTATCTTCATTGGGGAATCCATTCCCATGTGGATATTCAGCATATTACATAGTGATTGCATCAAAAATGCATTTATTTCACTTGACATGTCTTTAGACCCAACGTTCTTTTATTTGACAAAATTTAGTTGGAACTATTTTCTGAAATAATTGAAAATCAAAATGTCTCAAGTTATTTGAGAAGGCAAATATGCTAAATATGTGTGTGTGTGTGTATACATATACATATATATTGATAATAGTCTCTTGTGGTTACTGAACACTAAGGACATAAGAAAGGAACTTATGTAGTTATGGACCACAGAACTCAACTTTTTCAAACAATATTAACTTTCTCTCAAATTATATAAACATATATTGACAGGACATTGCTGTACATATGTTACCATTGAACATAGAAATGCTCCAACAATTGAAAATTGGATGCAGCAGTCTGAATTCTGCAATATAACTGTCTTTTATAGTAGGATGAAACAAACAGAATTGAAAGTTCAAAAGCACCAACTCTAATTATAAGAAAGCAGCATTACTGAACTTCTTGGGTTTACTTGCTATTCCTCTGCTAGACAAGTGTTTTTTTCAACTTGATGTTTCAAACAGTAGATCTCTCACTTTCAGCTATTGTCCATGAGTGTATATCAGATTAAAAAGTGCTGAGAATACCATTGATGGAATCTTGTAGGGAGAATTGGCTGTGATGTCATAGATCCTTGAGGGAAACTTCTAGAAGTTAGATTTAGTCATACCAGAGACTAAACAGGAAAGATGCTTACTAAGTAAGATGGGATCCAACAAGAGTGTAGTACAGAATGCAGTAATGTATGAATTACTTTTTTCCTGAGGTAGCTCAACAAACAACACTTAATGAGGAAGACAAGGCTTAACTGGCACCCTTGTCATTCTTGATGAGTAATTACTTAAAGATTAATAAATTTGAAATCTACCAGTCTTAGAAATGGAAGAAAGTGACAAATCTGATCAGCCTATCTCAGCAGGGAGGCAAGAAATTCGAAAGAGAAGACGACCCAGCCAACCAATGATAGATAAATCCCAGCAGACTGAAGTGACAGAGAAAAAGAATCACTTGCCTGCACCACAGTCATCTGGCCCTAAAGCCATCCTAAGTATTGGTAATATTCCTGTAAGCAAAGTCAACTGTGACTCTTGTAGATTATCTTCTCAACTTCAGCAAACTTGGACAAAGAGAAAGCGTGTACAGGATATGACTGATAGATCTCTGCAGACAGACACTATCGCAGAAGAGAAAAAAGAAGAAATCAAGTCAGTTTGTGAAACAGTGGTACCTGCAGAAAAGCCAGCTGTTGTTGGAGAAGCAGCCCCTGAATATCCAGAGAGTATTCAGGAAGTAGAAATTCCACCAGACAGACACTCAGTTCAACTCAAAACAGACAGATCTCAGCAGACCACTTGTACTGGAGACTGGACAATGATGAACATTCCTCAAAAAGAAACAGCAGATGAACAGCAGATGTACTTTAGTGAATTAGAAATAATGTTTATTGGCAGGCCAAATAATTCTTTTTCAAACTCAAAGGAAGGTGCACAGAAACGCAAATCCTCAGGGAAGATTTTTGTTAGCGAACATCCTGAATTTCAACCCACGACAAGTAGCAATGAAGAAATTAGCCAGGTAAGTTCCAGCAAAGCTTCACTTATTCAACATACCAAAAAAAGTGCTACACTACTTTTAGAAGATGAACAAGATGTTCCAATTAAAGTACAGCCTCCTGCTGCAGAAAAGATCTCGGCTGAAGTGCAGCTTCCACTAGCTGAGGAGACTACTGCAGAAGAGGTCCCTGCCGAAATTCAGCCTCCACCCGCTAAGGAAGCTCCTGCTGATGTACAGCCTGCCCCAGCTGAAGAGGTTCCTGGAGATGAGGGCCCTGCTAAAGCAGCGCCTATCCCAGCTGAAACGACTCTTTCAGAAGAGCCTTCTGCTGAAATTCAGCCTCCAGCAGCTGACGAGGTTCCTGTTGAAATACAGCCTACCCCAGCGGAAGACACTCTTTCAAAAGAGCTTTCTGCTGAAGTTCAGCCTTCATTAACTGAAGAGGCTCCTATACAAGAGGCCCCAGAACTTCCACCAGCTGAGGGAACCACTAGCAAACTTCAGCTTTCACCACTTGTAGTGTCCACTGCAGAAAAGGCCCCAGCTGAAGCTGAGCCTCCACCAGCTGAGCTGGTTCCTGATGAAGTTCAGCCTCCACCACCTGAGGAGCGCCCTGCAGAGGAAGCCCCAGAAGAAGTTTATTTTCTACCAGCTGAGGAGACCACTAAAGAAGAGGTCTCAGCTGTAGTTCAGCCTCCACCACCTGAGGAGGCCCCTCCAGAAGAGGACCCAGAAGAAGTTCAGTCTCTACCAGCTAAGGAGGCCCCTGCTGAAGAGGCTTCAGCCGAACTTCAACCTCTACCTCCAGAGGAGGCCTTTGCAGAGGAGGCCCCTGTTGAACGTCAGCCTCCACCAACTGAAGAAACTACTTCAGAAATGGTCCCTGTTGACAAACAGTCTTTCCAAGTTGGAGAGTCCTTTATTACACAAATCTTTATAAGAGACACCTTTACTGAAGTTCCGTTTCCACCATCTGGACAAACCCCTGCAGATGAGGCTCTGGTAGAAATCGCGTCTAATGAATATCAGTCTCTCCAGACACCAGACATCCCGGTGGTAAAACTAGAATCATTGGTTTTCGAAAATGAGCCAAAATCTGAAGAGCCTTTAAAACTGGATCCTCTTCCTGAAGATTCATCGAATCCCAAAAAGGGAGAGGTTTCTATTCAAATAGAAGGTGTCATCCATATAGAACTGGAATAAGGGCCTCCTCCTGAGCTGTCGCCAGGTCTTAACTAAGCTAGTCATCAGAGGCTAGGGGGTTCTGGAAGTACATATCTTAGAGAAGGCTAGGCCTTTGGAGGTAGCTTTGTGAACTGGGAAAGGAAAGGAAATCCTAAGATATGGACCACAGTTTGGAAAATGAGCAATAAAAACTAGTGATTTAAAATTAATGTGTTATTTTTATTCAGATATAGACTATACCTATTTTGAAATGAAGTAAGTTTATAATTAAAATAATTAAAATATCCTTTCTACACTAAACCCTGTTGACAAGGGTAAAGTATTCTCTGCAGCCATATTTTCTTTTCTGTACACGTAGCTTGTAGTGGAAAAGGCATATTCTTTCCTGCAGTGTTTTCATTTTGTTTTTGAATGTATACCTTGGAATGGAATTGCTGGATCATATTGTAGTTCTATTTTTATTTTTTTCCATACTGTTTTCCACAGTGGCTGCATCAGTTTACATTCCCACCAACAGTGAATGATGTCTCTCTTATTCACATCCTCACCAACATATTATTTGTGTTCTTTTTGATGATAGCCATTCTGAGAGGTGTAATGTAATATCTCATTGTGGTTTTTATTTGCATTTCTCAGATGGTTAATGATGTTGAGCATCTTTTCATATGCCTCTTGGTCATCTGTATGTCCTCTTCAGAAAAATGTCTGTTTAGTTTGTTGTTAGTGTGTAGAAGCTCAACTGATTTTTGTATGTTTACTTTGTATCCTGCAACTTTACTGAATTTGTTAGAATTGTTTATTCTAACAGTTTTTTGGTGGAGACTGTAAGGTTTTTTATATTAAATATCATGACATTTAATCATGTCATGACAGTTAATTCTACTTCTTTCATTGCAATTGTATGCATTTTATTTATTTCTCTTGTCTGATTTATTTGCCTAGGACTTCCAGAATGTTGAATAAAATTGGTGACAGTGGACATTCTTGACTTGTTCCTGACCTTAAATATGATGTGAGCTTTGGGCTTGCTGTATATGGTCTTCATTATGACCAGGTATGTTCTTTCTATACTGAATTTGCTGGAAGGTTTGTTTTTTTTTAAATCATGAAAGGATGCTGATTTTGTCAAATGCTTTTTCTCCATCTTTTGTGATGATCATATGATTAGCAACTACTTATTTGTTTACTATAGTCCTCTAGGGCTCATAAACGCAAACCTTGTTGGCTTTCAGAACTAGGCAATTTGAAAATCCAACCATCAGGTGATAGCCTTAAAAGTCAGGGCACTTGATTTATGGTCCAAACCCTTCATTTCTAGGAAGAAGCTGGGAGTTGGAGCTTCCTTCCTGACTGTAGGGTGCTGTGCCTGGGGATAGGATTTATGGCAAGAGTGTATCTCAGATTTTCCTACCTATTTCTAGTATTTTCTCAACAACTTGGTTATAGGAGTGTCACTCAGCTAATTTCTGAATTTCTCTCAGAGGGAATTGCTCTATGTGTAGCTGTATATTAGTTGCATCTATGGGAGGAGGGAAATTCAGGAACTTCCTATGTTACTATCTTGGTCTGAACCCCAACTGGGACTTCTGCTGAGGAAAATCCCTGTGGGAAAGTTTTTACCTAAACATTCTGTTCCTTTAATATATATAGGGCTATTTGTGTTATTTGTTGTAACATTTCTTTTCCTCTTTTTTATGCTCATAGAATCTGTAATGATATTCTGTCTCTAATTATGGTATAATTATTGGTCCTTATATCAGTAAATAGTGATAACTGATGTCTTCTTTCTCTGTCTCTGTCTCTCTCTCTCTTTTTTTTTTTTCCAAATCAATCTGGGTTGAGGTTTGATAAACCTTTCATTGATCTTCTTAAAGAATCATCTTTTGGTTTCATTGATTTCTCTGTGTCTATATATTTTGTATTTTATTGACTTCTGCTTTCATCTTTATTATTTCTATCTTACTGCTTCTACTTTCTTATGTATACTTTTTCTATTTTTCAGATGGAATCTGATGTCATTGATTTAGTCTTTACTACTTTTCTAATATGGTCCTTTAGTGCTGTGCATTTCTCTCTGAGTACTATTTTAGCTGTATTCTATAAATTCTAATTCCTTGTGTTTTCATGGTCATTCCATTCAAATATTTTATAATTTTGTTTTTGATTTATTCTTTGACATATAATATTAAACATGTTACTTGATTTCTAAATATTTGGTGATTTTTTTCAGATTTCTTTTTTATATTAATTTTTCATTTAATTACTTTTTTTGTCATAAATTATACTTAGTCTGATTTGATCTTTTTAATTTATTGATACTTACGTCTAAGCATGTGGCCTATCTTGGTTAGTGCTCCAGGCTGTGATATATTATTTTTGGTTGGAGGGTTCTATAAATGTCAGTTTAAAAATTAAGAATTAGTTGACAGTGTTGCTTAGTTCTGTTTCATTCCTGATTTTAAATCCACCTGTTCTATAGATCACTGAGAAAGGTAAGTTGAAATCCCTGACTATAACTGTGGATATTTGTCTATTTTTTTTTGAAGTCCTATATGCTTTTGCATCATGTATCTTGAAACTTTGGTATTAGCTGCATAAATGTTTAGAATTATTGTCTTATTTTATCTCTGTTAATAGCCTCTCCTCAGTAACACTGTCACTTGTCTAGTTTAGATCCTTAATATCCTTTGCTTTGCTTACTGTGGCCATTATCTGCTATTTCTATTTCAGTCTTTCTTCAAAATAATCTTTCCTGTTATTGCCAGAGTTATTTTTTAAAACACAGTTCTGCTCATGCAGCCATTTGCTTACAGAACAAAACTTATATTCCTTAAAAGAATATTCATGGTCCTTTACAACCTACTCTAACCTACTTATGTTACCCTCATTGAGTATAAAGTAGAAGTTATGATCATGACTGCCAGTTTGTAAATCCTGCCTCCATCACTTATGAGCTGTTTAGCTAGTTCAAGTCAGTTGATCTCCCTGTGCCTCAGTTTACTTATCTGAAAAAAAAGCATAATAAGAACAATACTTAACCATGGGATTATCATGAGTCACAAAAATAGTTAATCCATATTACCTTCTTTGAACAGTACCTAGTGTACACTAAGCAACAGATGCCAGTTCTGGCATTCATTGTTGTTACCTGCGTACTTGTCTTGTGACATTTCTTTTAGTATCTAAGTTCCTGTCATAGCTAGCAATGATCGTTATACTGCAGCACCTTGTATTTGTTCATTGTGTTTTAGTCATTTGTATCCTGGAGAGTCTGGGTCATATTTAAAGGTTTTATTTTAGCAGGCAGTCACCCTGTTTTGGTTTATTAGCATATTGATCCTGGCCTACTTTTGTGGACTGTGGATCCAGTGAAAAGTTAATTTTCAAAGACTTTGTCATATTATTTTGGTCTGTTATTTACCCTGAGACTTCCACTGGTTCTTGCTGGTGCCACCTATGGGAGCAAAAGGAGCTTCTCCTGGCCAGGTTGCCTAATGCCTCTGGGTGGGAGAAGGGAGGTTCATTCTCACCAAGAAGAAGAGGCTTCCCTGACAGACAGTTATGAGGCAGAATCCCCCTTGCTGGTACCCCCTGCCACTGTCTCTTTCTGGAGGATAGGACATCTCAGGCCTATGGAGACAGAGGCTTCTAGGCTAGACATTATTACTGTGATGGAATTTCATCGTGTTGGTACCACTGGTGTCTCTAGGTGAGAAATGTGAGGAGGTCTCAGGTCTGACTGGAGAAGAGGGCACTTCCCTGGCTCATACTATCAGTGGGGCTCCTGATCCATCTCCCTGTCAGGTTCCCCCTGGGCTTGCCTAATCTTGATGGTACAGCTCCCTTCTGATCCTGGAGAGAAAGAATTCTACCTGGGCTGCCTTCTGTTGCTAGCTTGAGCATCAGGGAGCAGTGAGCCTGGGTCTGGCACTGGGAAGGTGAGTCCCCAGAGCTCTTGGCTTTGAAGACCAGTGGGGATTAATTTGTTGAGCCCCTCAGGACTAGGGGAGATAGAGACTTCATTCTTAAAGGGCACATACAAAATCTTACATGCACTGGGACCCAGGGAAAAAGCAGTAATTTGATAGGAGCCTGGGCAGGCGTACCTGTGCTCTTGGAGAGTCTCCTGAATAGGCAGGGGAGGACTGTGGCTCACCCTGGGAACGTGGACATTGGTGGCAGCCTTTTTTGAGAACATTCTACCCTGTAAACGCTGTTGCTGGCAACTCCTATCTTGGTTCAGTAGCAGTTTATCTGGCCCCAGTCAATAGCCTATAGGCACTAGTGCTTGGACACCTCAGGCCAAACAATTAACTGGTCAGGATCATAGCGCACTCATCAGCAGACAGGCTGCCTAAGACTTCCTGAGCCCACTGCTGCTTCTAGACACACCCCTAGACAAGGCCATGCCCACCAGAGGGCCAAGACCCAGCTCCACTCACCATTGGGCAGGCACTGGCCCTGCCTTCCAAAAAGCCTGCAGTAGCCTCTAGACCAGTCTCATACACTGGGGAGCAGACACAAAATGCAAATGCAGCCCACTCACCTTGGAACCAGCTGAGCCCTTGCCTTTCCACTAGTGGTACAATGCAAGCTTTGGGACACCCCGGGTCCCCAGTCCCAACTGTGTCAGAAACTTCCTCTGTCCCAACAATGTGAAACAAGCTCTGGGATCTTTGGGACCTGCAGTCAGACTCCAGAATTAGCTCTGCCTGCCAAACTGGCTTCATCTACCAGTGGGTGGGCAATAGCCCTTGAGCCTTCAGGACCCTGACTCCACCCACCAGTGAGCCAGCACTAACCCTGGGGACGCCTACGGTTCTGCAGCCAGATGCCTCATGACCAGGCCCCACTAAACAGCAGTAAGCAGCATCCACACAAGGCAAGTCCTGGCAACCAACCAGGCTAGGGGCCAACCAAGCCCATGAAACACCAACATAAAAGAAGGACTCATGCAGCCTTCTCAGGAGGAAGCCCTAGAGCATATAGCTTAGATGATAAGAGGAGAATGCACTGCTGGGACAATAGGATGTCTCTTACAGAAGGCCACTTCACCAGGGTCAAGAAATGTAACTAACCTGCCACATACATGAAAATACAAATACCAACATAGACAAAATGGGACAGC